CAGTGAGGGCTAGAGAAAAAGTACCATAAGTTCTTCCAAAAATTCATAATTCAGAAAAATGTGTACTCCTTCAAATATTTTGCGCCATCCTATCCACTTCTGGACACCCCTAGTTTTCACGTAATATATTTAATAAATCGAGTTCTTCTTATATACCAGGAACGTTGAGTATCTATATTGAGGTGTCAACAATTTATCAGAAACTTAAGTATCGTTTTTTTTTGTAAAATTAGTTGACTATAGATAATTAAACTTTAATTTACTTTCTTTTTGTGCTTTAATCAATAAACAAAATAAAAATCAACCTAAATAATATTTTATCTATATTTTAATTGTAAGAATAATTCACGAAAAGAAATATTGCTTATATGGTCTATTTTCGATCACTGGACGATCCTAGCAAATATTTAAATTGCTTGGACGGATTCTAAGAAAACAGTTTCATCACCATTTATTTCTCCTCATTTTAATACAATGAATAATGCAGGAACTAGCTTTCTTCTTCTTGTTCTGGTTAAGAAATAGGTTCTTGAAACAATTTTTATCGACTTTTTCTTTTAATTACAGGCATATATTTTACTTTTCTACCGCTAGGTAAGAAATATTATATAAGGTCATGAGAATTTTTTAAGAAGATCCTTATATCTCTCTAACCGCTTAAAAGGTGCATAAATTTGTTATCTTTTTTCCTTTCAATGCCTAATGCCTATGAATCAATCACACAAATATTAGTTTAAATATAGTGCACCATTTGTATCCACACATTTAAATGTTACATAAGCATACACACACACGATAGCAATAGTTGGTGGGTTCAATGGGAGGTGAGCCTTTCCATTAGAAGTCCCCTTCTCCCTCTAAAATGGAAAATAATACTATGCTTATTTTTTATTGATCCATTTCTGTACTTTCTGGGCTAAATACTCTCTATTATACAATATAGAAGCATAATAACAGAAAAAATAACAATAATAACACATTAATTACATTTTCTATCAGTTAAATATAAATTGTAGTGAGTGTAAAGGGGAGTATTGAGAATGATGAAGGGCCCACTATCTATTTGTAAATTATTATTGATCTCTGGATAGATGATACATATATTTTATATTCAGGCATTTTAATAAGTTATGTTAGACCTCTATAATGCTTCATTCTCAAAGGCATCACTACTTGAAATAATGTTTTATTAATAACTTTTGATTTGTCCATAATGTTGAAAAATATATATATTGTGAATAACAATATTTTGCAAAGCTGTATCATATATTATGAATGATGCACACAATATGTATCAAAACTATTAGCCAATATGACCTAGTTATTTCTTTTAATGTGGTTTATTACTTTTTGTACCATTGTTTTCCTCACCTTTGTTGGAATGTTTTTGTGTATGTTGATATACATAATAAAAATAATTAAATTGTTTTTCTTAGTTGTATATCATCTTTCATTTTCATTTTTTCATGTTTCTATGCTATTATTGTTTATTATTAATAATATATTCAAGAACTTCTTTTAAGTGCTGATTTACGAGAAAAATAGCATATTTCACAGACACAACTACTAACCAATCCAATAAAAAAATACACAATTTACTATAAATATTCCACTTTGTAATAATAATACATTTATAAATTATTATAATAGCTTGTACTTTTTTATTCTCCTTTTAACATACTTCCATAATCTCCTTTATTTCATTGGTCTTATTGTGGGTGAAAATTCGATAAAATTTTAATTCATGATACCTATGTATCATATAAAGAGTTTTACTCATTTATATGTATTTGTAATAAATTATCTTTTTACATTTGAGTATATTGTTTTTAATTAAATTTTTCAATACAAGACCAATGTACCATATATATTAATTTTCTGTTCACTAGTAACTACAATAAAATTCATACATCATATTATGATAAAAGATTCCCTGTATCAAATTATATAGAAGCAATTACATTCTACACTGTTCAGAAGCCTTAAAATGGTTTATTGGACTATAAACTGCACATGATATGGCAATTGTTTGTCTGAACAATATATTTAGTGAGCTCAGATGTTTACCAAATTTTGAACAATTTATTGATTGAATTTCATATAAAGGGTAATTTTGTTGATAAAAATTGGGAATAAATTTATTCATGGTGAGGCTAATCAACTTAGGCAATAATTTAAGATACATTATAACAAGGAACCATTAGTGTTGCAAAATTAATTATAATAACAAATCGGTCTTTTTATTAAAAAATGAGGAATAGCAATTGTTTTACAAAAAATAGTAGGTGGCTGCTTAACTGAGTTGAGTTACTAATAAAAAAAAATATCTTGGCCATGGAATTGACAAAATCAAGTTGAGGATTCATAGTGAATATAAAATAATGGTTTCCGCCATGCTTTAAAACCAATATTCACTAACTAAAAACGCAAAATATTTCTTTAGTAATAACATTCATAAAAGAATATAGTCATTTAATTCATAATAACAAAAAAAAAAAGTAAATTAAATAACACATATATCTCATAGGTGATTTAATATTTACAGATAAATATGTTGCTGGCAGAGTAAAAAAATCCAGGAATTCGATTGTATAGAATGCTTAATCATTCATCTTTAACAAAATTACTTTCATAATTAATTACATACCTACAATACCTAATCATTTCATATAATGCCAATTGTTCATCAAAATAAGAAATTAAAGTGCCTTGAGTAATCATTTATTTATAATATTTCATGAATAAAAAGTTGCTTTAGGACATAGGATCTTAACATGTTTTTTCTGAAATTTGCTTACTAGTTAATATTTTGTAAAATGCTGACTACTACCCATTAGTCTCAGAGTAATCTATAGTAAATCTGACAAAATATCCATGAAATTGTTCAATTGTATTGTTTTTACAATTTAATTTGTCCCATAATAAATTATATTTTTTGAATTCATTCATAAATTGAAAAGATATTCATCAAATATTTTTATCTGAATATTTTATTAGTTCTATTTTAATTTTATAAAATGCTGACAATTAATTAGTTTCAGGAAATCTGCAAATCATGCAGATTAAACTGGTGATTTATATGAGGCAAATAAAAAGAGAGTAAAAAAAAAAATCATAAAACAACACTGACTAGACAACAAATAAGTGAAAAGTAAATTAGTTTCCTGCTATATATTGATTTTTATTTTCAACATAAAATTGCTGTACTGTTTTTTATGTAGGAGAAATTAAGTTGTTACTGATATTAAACAATTAAACTTATAAATATTTCACCTGATAAAATATAATTCTCATTAAATTATAAGAAAACATTTTTATTTTTGCAATATTTTCATATTTTGTAATAAGTAATATTCTATATATTACTAGTAAATATATATGGACATAGTAATGTAATTTTCATTAAATTATAAGAAAATATTTTTATTTTTACAATATTTTCATATTTTGAAACAAGTCATAATTTTTCTGAAACTTTTTTTTTTTTTTTTTTTCAAAAAGCAAGAAAACGTATACATGTAAATATGAATATTTTTATGATGTATTATAAAAAGGATGTTAACAATTATATTTGATTATTAAAATTTGAACCTAATGCATGTGTAAAAAAAAAATTAAATAAATGATGCCAAGTTAGATGATTAATACACCAATTCCTCTATTTATATAAATTATTTGTTAGTATATATTTCTTCTACATCTCCTTTCCCTGTTATTTTTTTCTTACATTATTATTGGCAATATATCTGTGGAGGCTGTGGAAAGTCTGTTATGTGCAATATTATGAATTTTTATGGGTATCAATAGAAAGCTATTTTTTCTCTTTTTTTTGTGTCTTATGGGTTCTTATGCAGCTATTACAGAGATGAACATTCCTTTTTTGATTCATGGGTTGAAACTCGAAAATTGAACATGCACCTGTGAAAATTATTGAGTTTCAATTGCATTTTTCCATAAATATGATTTTTGCACTATGAACAGTCGCCACAGATATGTAAAAATATCAAATACTGAAAAGCTGACTGATTAAAACATTACAATTCCAAGAAATTGAATTAAAAATTCAGCTCAAGAAGTTCTAGAGCTCAAATAAAATAAAAAGCTAGACAAGCCTCTCATTAGACTCATCGAAGGGACAAAAGTATATAATTTTTAAAAAAATACAGTCTTACAGTTAAATTAATAATATAAATATTAAAATAACAACAAGTTATCAATGATATCAATTTAAAAATCAACATCAAATATTAAGTTTTAACTAAAGGAAGCGCATGACTTACAGGAATTTATGGTAATGAACAATGGTACTTAACATAGTAATGCAGTATTTAACAGACAAAATTCTACCAATCCATCTCCTACAGACTCATATGTGACAAGAAATTGTTTAATATACACTAAAAATATAGTTCTTACATACTCATTAACTATTACCTTATCAAAAGTTAATTAATTTTTGTTAGATACAAAATTATAAGTAGTGTATTGAACAATGATGTAAGCCACTTTGCATACTAGCATCAGAATTTATTCATACAGAATGTAGAATTGAATATAAAAAAATATTATCTTTAACAGCTTAAACTAAATACAAAATGATATGTACATAAGACTGCACTTGCTGATGAACATTATGATTTCAGAAAAAAAAATGTATAATATAAATATAAATATATATATATATATAAATAAAAGATGATACACAAATCAGGACTTAAAAGCATCAATTGAAAAGAAGGAACTTAATACATTTAAAGACAAATAAAAAATGTTCTTCCAAGATTATAACAAACAGATTACCGGGATACTACAATAATTATTAATTAATTGCAATTATCTAAGAATAAATACAAATTTATAATTTTTCTTTATGCCACAGTTTGTTTAGGCATATAAATGCAAAGTTCATTACGTTTTTTCTTTATTTATTTTTTTTTATATGCAAATACACTAGTTAAACTTTATTCAACTACAGATAAATCCATCTCTGTCCCACTTACCTGATAGGAGATATACCGGTACAACAGCACAACCCAATACAGCTTGACTGTGACAACTTAACCTTCCACTCTCACTGGTGGGGATAGCTTTTCGCAGGGATTTCCCGCCAATATTTGAAATTAGAAATACACAACGAAATCGAAAATAATTTTAAAATGTATTATACTTCTGAATCAAGGGTGCCCAGAAGGAACCTTCATGGGATTTTGAATTTTTTAGGGTAGCACATTTCAACGGAGTTGAATTTCCTTCTCATATTTTCTATTGGATTTGTCTACAGGCCGAATTTGACGTGTCAAAATGTTGGATGTAGGAGAAAAATGTTTAAACCTCAAAAGGGTCTCTCAATTCATATAAAGTCCTTTAACTCATTTTGGAGGGGCTATAGAGGTGTAAACAACTTTTAAAACCATTTGGACATGCCGAATTTTTGACTGAAATTTATCCAAACTTCTGCAAAATTGTTCTGCCTAGAAAAGAAATCATATCTAATTTCAGCTCATCTGATCCAAAGGGATGGAAATGGACAGAAGAAGCGGAATATATTAAAGTTTGGCTGTGTGATAAGGGAGCCTTCACAAACAATATATCTGACTAAGTGCTCAAAAAAACTATAGTACTACTTAAAAAGTGTTGCTCCATTTTTATGGTTTGGCACGAAATGTCATGTAAAATTCCAAAACTAGCCGAATGTATCCGAAGGTGACCGAACCGTTTGGTATAGTTTCGACTTTAAAATTGAAGTTTAATTTGGTAATTCAAACATTGCCTCTAATACTTAGTAGGAAATGTACTCTCTGCAATAGCAGATCGAATCGGCAATATCACAGATAAAGCCTTATCAGACCTACGATTACCTAAGATAAGGTTCGGAGTGCTAGGCAATATAAAAAATGCAAGAAGCAGCCCTTCTTTGATTTGAGCGTCGCGTTTTAGAAATAATATTTGGTCCATAATCAACATCGACTATCGACATGGTGAATGTGAACGGGCGATGAGCTGAAGGAGCTTTTTTGGAGATGCTGATGCGAGAATAATTAGCAGAGGCTGGATTTTCATGTTATTGCACTTTTTATTCGCTTGCGTATAAAACTGAAAACCCGAATATCTATTCCTTTCACGATTTTTAGAATAACATATTTAAATTTTACATTAATAAAATTGCACGTTTTGCCGTTTTTGGTCTAATTTGCACGATTTTTATTTTTGTTGTATTAAATTGCAAATGTTTGTACTAAATTAGATTATTTATAAATATAAATGTATATTAGTAGATTAAAATTTACTTTTTTATTTGAATATATTGTCCAAATTAAATTTATAATTCAAGATAAAAAAAATATGCGAAACGTAAATAATTCTGTGACAAGTAAAAATTGAATTTAATATTATAAAAAAGAAGAAATATACACAAGTGGGAAATATTCTTGTAATAAAACTTGTCTAAAGCGTTGGATAACAATAAACTTTTCTATAATAAGTTGTTTTGATTGGAAGACATCTATTGTTTTTACTAAAATTCTCACTCATTCGCGTTTAGCCCTTCAGTGCCACTTCTGTCGTTCAACTGATTAGTCGTCAAATCATTGTTATCAAAATAGAAATTAATAATGCTGAAAGTAAGATATAGTCTCTCGTCAATAATTAGACTCTGGATATCAAAGTACCCTCAGTTGAAATTTGATAATAAAGTTGTTTTCTGTACGCCTTGTGAAAAATCAATCGGGTGTGAATAAAATCACAAATATACGCTCATTGTAGAACAGGTAAGATAAAAATATAACTATTAAAGAATTTTACTGTTTTTTTTTTAAAGAGCACACCCCCAAAAATATGTTTTTTAGTGATTTAGAAAAACGGCTTCAAAACTAATATTTGTGCAGAGTTAATGCTTGTTGTCTGGCAGCACTGCTGAGTTGTAAACAGAGCAGGTTGGCTTGAGTGAGGTTACCTAGACACAGTAGCAGTCCTTTGTTGCTGCTAGTGTGATGTTTATGTAGAGGAATAAAGGTGTTTTTGTCTGTTGTGATATAAAGTTTTCAACATAGCCTCATTTGTTTCCTGAATTGATTTCCCGAAATCATAATTTGAATGCTTGAAAATCTCAAATATTATAGTGTACTCCTAAACTTTATTAAAAATTCTTTAGATTTTAATAAAAAAGATTTGGAATGTTTTTTTTTGCATTGGTCATATGTCGTCACTAAATATACGTTTTTGCCATCTTCTGTCCTGCCAGTCTTCTTCATGCATGCCCCTATTCATCATTTCTTCCTTTACTCCCTCATACCAGTTTGTCTTCGGGCTACCTTTCTTCCCTCTTTTTTCTGGTTTCCAATCTTAAATTTGCTCAGGCTATCATCCCTCTTCCACCTTCATCACATGCCCATACCACTTCAGGCTCATAGTTTCAATTGTGTGGAGGATGTTCTTCATTTGTTATACTCGTTTCCTGATTTCACAGTTTGGAATTTTTTGAAGGCGAGAGACACCACATGATTTTTTCCAATAGTCCAGTTATAGAGCCATTAATTTTTTTGATTGGCTCTCTTTAATTGCCCAATATTCGGCTGAATAGAGAGTAATACTTTCTAGGAACGATTTGTATATATTTTTTTAAGTTTTTAAGAACACTGCCTTACTCTACAGTACCGAGTTTAAGGTTCTGAAGGATTAATCTTGGATGTCACCTGAGGATGTCACAAAAACATGGCAAATCCAAATATGTCTTTCCGCAAGTTTAAGATGCACGTTATGCTTAATCATGCCAGAAAGGCTAGGCCTTTTGGAAAAAAAATGGCGACTCAGAAACAAATTTTGACTTTCTCACCCTTTATATTTTTTGAGTCGTTCAACAGGACTTTGAAGTTTTCTGGCAAAACATTTGCGGGGAACTATATTTTTTGAGCACTTTTTGGCCAAATTTTGGCACCTTCTTCAGTTTTCGGCCTATATCTAAAAAAGGAAGCGTTTTTTTCGACAAATCTATTCTAAACAAAATTAAAATAGACAAAACTGCCTACATTTCTTACAACTTCTTCTACACAACTTTTTTTGTAAGACTAACCATTTCACCGCTAGAGCGCGCCCGAAATGGGCCATATTTTCACATCCGGTGAAATTTTTCGATTACGCAGAAATTGCCCTTGTTGTGATTCTTAACTGTTTAACAATTTATTACATTATACAATTTATATTATATAAAAGTACATTTTTCATAAATAACGTTTTTCTTTGGAAGACTGACCCAATGATTCCCAATCACTGTGCCACGGTAAAAGGGGCCATGATTCCATATCTGTGAAATTTTCAATATAGGAAAAAATATTTGACAGCTCATCTAACTTATTGTGACAATTTTATTTATACAAATGGCAAAGCACTTTCAATTGTTTAATTTATCACATAAAAACTTGTCCCGAGATTTACCAGTGTAAATAATTAATAATACAATATGTAACTTGATGTTGTCATATTTCATAAAATTTATTTACACAGGTAAACTGGGCGACAAGCTTATTTATATTACATAAATTGCATAATGTAATGAATTTATTTAGTTTAAGATTTATTTTCTCTGTGGATTAAAATGATTCCTTGTGTTTAAAAATTGGAGTATTCTGCAGAGGAGCTGCGGAAGATTCTTCGACTCACTAGTTTTTTCTCCGTGGACTAATGATTTTTAATGATTTGATGTTTAAAAATCCCGAAACAATGGCAGCCGCAGGGGAGAGATTTCTGGTCAATGTGTACGGGTATACAGGAAGTAGTGAACCATCGATAAACCATCTGAGCTATGTTAATCATAAAAAGGCAGCTTTCAAGACCTCATCAAAAATAGCTACGCTACCACCATCACCAGTTGCAGCATTAATGTGACAACCTAAACAGAAGTTACGAGTATTGAGGACGAACTGGGCTTCACTTTCTCGCGAGTTGTTGAGACCATCGAAGAAAGTGGGGACAAAGATCGCGAAGGTATGTATAATTTATTTCCCCAAAAGATGAGACTCACACACTTGAAGCATAGCTGTACCTGACTGAAGTACTTAATAAGAATGTACAAGCTAACCCATATTTTCTATTCATTACAGAACCTCCACCATCTTGAAAAATAAGGATTTTAGATGAACAGTCTGAAGAGGATGTAAGTAACAGTTCTTTGAAAAACGAAGGTGAGTAAAACAGTATCTTCAACTTGAGCAGATTACTCACTTCGTCTATCAATAAATCCATAAAATAGTCTCTCCTGTTTGTTTCAGATTATAACGGCAGCTATTCATTGTTCCCAACAATTATCATAATGTAATGCGTAATTTTAATGTTATGCATTTTTTTAATGATGTATTATTAAACACTCATTAAACAAATGTATTTTGTTGGTTTGTATCCATTTTTTAATTACTTTTCCCATATTCATTATTCATGTAAGGTATCCTGGATCGGTGAAGGTTTTTTTGGAAGCTCTTGCGATAAAACGGTTGGTCCAGTGATTGTCAACCTTTTTTTTTGTTGCAGCACATTTCAACAATTTCAAAATTTGGCGGCACTCAAAGAAAAAGATAAGTTTAAAAATTGTTTACTTACCTATAATACACTGTGTAAAAAAGTTTATGATAATAGTTTTGAATGTAAAATAAAATAATATGTACTACAAAAAAAAAAAAAAAAAAAACCAGTATGTTTATAAGTGATTACTTACAAGTAAATAATAAGAATATTTTTAATAAGGAATTTAAGATTGATTTATTTTTTCTCTAATATACATTTCCAAAATTTGGCGGCACACTTTAAGAATTTCCTAACACACAAAAATACCGTGGCACAGTGATTGAGAATCACTGGGTCAGTCTTCCAAATAAAAACTTTATTTATGAAAAATTTACTGTTACATAATATAAATTGTATAATATAATAAATTGTTGCAACAACCTTATAAAAAAACAGTTTTGTATAAGAAATTGTCGGGAGTTTTGTTTACCTTAATTTTGTTCAGAATGGATATGTCGAAAAAACGCTTCCTTTATCAGACATAGACCGAAAACTGAAAAAAGTGACAAAATTTGGTCAAAAAACAAAGTTTCGGGCCCTAATATATCTATCCTATAATATGATAATATGATCACCATAGTCACAAGTGCTGACAGTTTACAGTTTCATGTGTACATGCAAAATGATTCCCCCTTTAATTAAGTTTTATTAGTCTGCATTTTATAATATAATATAAATTTGTATACAATTAAATTACTTGCAGAGTCAAGCTTACCTGGGTCGTAAATGTCTCTTACTCCGTTGTGATCTGTTGGCATTGCAGAACTGTGAGTGCCTTTATCGCCCTCGATACTCATTTCATAAGTTTAGAGGAGTGACTTGCAGTAAATATTGATTCGATATAATTATGATAGCACTAGTATATAATTCAATCATATTAACAACACTTTCACTGTTTTGATTTATAGATGGACTTAGGTGGTCATAGGTATGTTATAAACAGTTGTATGTATATGTATATACATATACATAAATATATAATATATTTATGTATAATATA